AGTTACCTGATGGTAATTACTACATGGCAATGTCAGATTCATCCAAACGAGGACCCCGCTATAAAGACGACACTCAAAAAATGATGCCTTCGATGACGTCACCAAGCAAGTCGTTGGAGGTATCTAGGAGTGGTCCAAGCATTAGCCCATCGTTGGATTCTCTGTCTCACATAGAGTCTGCAAAACTGTCTCACGGTGATGGCCAGGCGGGCCGGTTTACGCCCAAGAAATTATTTTCATCAGTCAAAGAATCCCGCAAGAACAACGCAATACGAACACCCCGTAAACGAGCTAGAACTTACCCCTATCAGCCGAACCCACCGCCCAGAGCTTCCCCTCTTCCTCGTAACTCGGAGATTCCACAGGACATCATGAAGGACCTGGCAGTCATCCGAATACACCGTCGGAGTTCTTACGCTGATGGCGACTCTTTGGTCGAGGTACAGCCAAGTTCTCTACCAGGTTCTCCCACCATGTTCGCCTATCGTGATCCGGAAGGAAGGATTCGAGTGCCACTGGACATGCACTGTAATCAGAAGGCCCTTGCGACCTATAGATGCATGACGCCCTCTAAGACTGCAGCCACTAAAATTGTATCCGTCTGCGACATGACGCAGCGTCTACCAATACCGGCAAAGGGAACAGTCCCGGAGAAAACCCTCTTTGCAAAGGGAACAGTCTCGGAGAAAACCCTCTTTGCCGATTCTGGAAGTCAAAGGGTGGGAAGCACACAAGGGCCTGAAGTTATCCATCAATTAATGATCTCAGAAGAAACAGATCACGGTGTAAAGGAAGGTTCGTTATCAACACAAACGATTATGAAGGAATGGGAACAGCTCCGGCAACAAATTTGAACTGCATGTGCGCGCTGGAAGGGAAATCAATGATAATTACAAAATGGTGCCCACTTCAAACGAGGCGTCAATTCTCTATTCTGGGCCCCGTTGCATAAAGCTTACCATTGATGGTAATTTTGCCATCAATGGCAACTACCATGGTAACAGGGCTCAACTGCCAATCAAAATCATGGTTTCCGTGGTAGTTACCGTGTTGATGGTAAAGTTACCATCAATGGTAAGTTTTATGCAACTGGGCCCTTTTATTCCGAACACTAATCAAGATTCTGAAGACAATCATGCGCCTTTGATGGTTGCACTGTCCAAGATTTCATTTTGCATTATTTTTTGAAGGACATCCCTCTTAGAAGGCATCAATTTTAAAGGTCGTATCATGCAGTCTCTGACGCAGTCTAACGTCACTCAAAATAACGCCTCGTGTGCATGCAACGAACTTACGAGCATGATAGTCTTGGTGCTTCGAGAAATTATAATTATGCAGTCACCACTCATTGTTGCAAAAAGAAACGCATAACAGATGAAAGTTTAGTGAGGAGTCATGAGATTGATAAGAACATTGGTAAATGCATCTGAACTTCCAGGGGCGGATCTAGCTTTTTGCTAAGGGGGGGGGGTTTGACCAAAATAATGACGATGCAGAGCATCGTCCACGAGCCGCGAAGCGGCGAGCCGATTTTTTTTGGGGTGTTTATTTGAACCCCGTAAGTGATGTTTTCCTGGCATCTATTAACACAATGGAGACCATAAAAAGCAGTGAATGATAACGTCTTTTTAAATCAAGTAACAGTTTAATACACAGTTATATCCAGATTTATTATGTGTTTGGTTAAGTTACCAGATGAGTTGAATATCTTCTCACAATATTTGCACTTGAAAGGGTTTCTCTACAGCGTGCGTTCTTCTTTCTTTCTTTTTTTCTTTCTTTTTTTCTTTTTTTTTCCTTTTTTTTTTTGGGGGGGGGGGGGGCCGCCCAAGGGGGGGGGGGTTTAAACCCCCTAAACCCCCCCCCCCCGTAGATCCGCGCCTGACTTCTGAAACCCGAACGGACAGGAACTGTCGTGAGAATTGATTTTTGTACGGCTACATTCGAGAATATCGAAAACCTCAGAACAAGATAGAACATACTTTCGAGAAATCAAATTGAAGGCAATTTCAATGGTCCGTTTTTTGTCCCATATAAAGAAATCATGTTCAAATTAATTGTAAAACTATAATGTTCGCACATTTTTCAGTTAATATGATGAACAAGGCTATTTGAATTACCTTAGGTTCATTTTTCGAAAGTCTTTATGATCGTTTCAAAAGTATAAGCGCAACGGCACTCGGGGTTTGAAGTTTCTGTTTATGCCAGCTCGATTTTGGTCCCCTTTAACATTTTATAGAGATCAAGGTAATGTCATCAGAAGCATGATTCTTAATCTTTGAATGATGGTTACTGGTGATCAGCGCTGGTAATGCAGCTCCTCATTTTATATTGCTGTTCCCCAATATCAACATTGCCTTAGAAAAAAAACGTCTACGGCCTTTGTTGACGGTATTTCAATTATGAATTTTGATTCCTTTTAGGAAAGATAATCATGATCCCAAAGGCTCCCTGATCCATTAAGTAGCGGATTCAAAATTGATGTGAGGGAGGAAAGGGGGGGGGGGGTAATTATTTGTAACACTAGTCTTGAGCTGCCACCATATCCACCGATGTGTCAAATATCAATCTTCTCGATCAATGATGTTGAATAAAATTGAATATTTCAGAATATAACAGAATAGGTTATGCATTATTCGCATCACTACAAGGAGCAATCAAAAGTCATAATACTAACGTAATCATGTTATGGCATCACCGTGACAAAAGGCTTCATCATGATGCATATCACAACAATAATAATGTCTGTAGCACTATAATGATGTCACCGTTTTTTTTTTTAAGTCTTGATACTTTCGATTTTCCAACGACACGCATCATGTTTGTAATAATTTTGAATATAACGTGTAAATTCAGACGTCATTGTGTAATGAGCAGACGAATAAAATTAAGGTAAAACTAACATAATTATGCATTGCAGTTTTCTTTTTGTTTACGTTTAGTTTGTTAAACAAATACGTCAACATTCATCGATGTCGATGCACACCCCCGGGGGATGCACACAGGGGCCCCATCGTCTTGATCCAAATGAGCAAATCAATCGCAATTAGTCCTCCAATCAATCGCAAGTTTGCAGTCTCCAATCTATTATGTACATAGTTGCGATTGACTCTACCAACTATTTGTATATAAGACGGGGGCCCAGGTCAGACATCGGCGTTTACAGAGGTGGATCCGGATTGGGGAAGGGGGTGGGTAGCAGATGTGATTCCCTCAACAAAAATAGGGCGGGGTCGGAACAATAATAGGAGGAAAATCACAGGGTTGATGACTCACTTTTTACTTGGGGGGGGGGGGGGGGGTTGTCACACAATTTGGGACTCGTGTCCCCCCCCCCCCGAATATCTTGGATTCGCCGACAGAACAAAACAAAAACTTTCACGCGTCTGACAGCTCGTTATTGAAAGATTGAAAAAAACAGGACATAAGGGAAGAAAGTAAAATGTTGGTCGGTCGCTTGAACTCTGTTAAAAGTGGTTAGACAGCCAACGAACGAGACTAACATTTTATTTATTTATTTTATTTATTTCTAACAGGCCTATACTGAGAGTGGCACATTTTACCAATAACTATTGTCGACTTCCATGAGGCCCCGTTTGGTAACAATGGTATTCAATAACAATCATCGAACATATAACAGCAACAAAACAACTAAATAGAGAAACAAATACACACCCCGTTTGTAATTAGTATACAAACTAATGTTGGTATCTCATAAAAAGCGGATTATTTAAGAAATACCGTTGCACATGTACGGTACAAACAGTTTTTGCTTGGTAGTCATGATCATTTAACGCATTCTTACTGCAAGATTTTTTTTTTTTAAATAACAAAAACTGATAATCAAAAATAATAAATCAACAAGACAAGATTTAAAAGATCATAAGCAACGACGGAAAATGTACTTTGTCAGACAACATATACAGGTAGTAATTGATAATCGTGAAATTAAAAGATCGTATTTCAACTAAAATTTTATGTACCTAATAATAATAATAATAATAGCCTAATAGTCCACTCCAAATTCTTTTAAACCGAAACGGAAATTCTTTTTGCCCAATCGATCGTGAGCCCGGCAGCCAATGAGCAGCGCCAGATCGACGTTGCTCTATCCCTTATTGTTGAACGCCAAACAAGGTAGCAACAACTCCCATCATGTACGTCTTTTGGTATGACGCGGCCGGGGTTCGAACCCACGACCTCCCGGTTGTGTGGCGGACGCTCTACTGACTGAGCCAACACCTCAGTTTGCCAACACGTTTCACATTTTCTTTTCCTACTATTACACAAAGGTTAGGCCTATGTTAAGTTACTATAATTTTGTCGCCAATAAAAAGGATAAAACGTACATGCAAGCAACACAAATAAACGGTGAATGAAGTTTTAACCCCATCCAACTAAACAAAAATAAAAAACTGTTACGACGTTTTATTTTCTTCTCTCAGAAAGAAAATTTTACATAGACCTAAATAAATTTGCAAGTGAACTTTAACATTTCCATACAAGGTTAAAAATAGATTTTCATAAAAAAATATATTTGCAAATGGTAAAAAATAGTCACATGCATAAACAAAATTATAGTTTCACATTTTAAACAAATCGCGCGTAGGCCTAAAGTTTTTCCAATTTCCTCGTCCAGCTTGCATAAATATTTCCAATTATTTCTTTTCTTTTCCTCAATAACTTTTCACAATTTCCTTCAAAGAGAAAAAAAAGGGTTAAGAAAAAGAAAAAAAAATGTGATAAAGCTATATGTCGAATTGTCCTCTCCCGATCGCGTCATTTTTTTTTTTTTTAAAGAGGTTTTGATTTAACCCTAACCCTATAACCCTAACCCTAACCCTAACCCTACCCTAAACTTTCCCATAGGCTTAACACGCACCTAACCCCAATCTGTGCCGCAGAAAAAAATAACGCCTCCCAATCGACGACGTACGCGGCGCGCGCTTCAATTTAGTGCTTGGAATTCTGCGTGCAGAATAGCCGCACGCCCCTTGTATTGTTATTGTTAACAACAGAGAAAATTCCCACCAGATGATGACCGTATGGAACAGTCCTGAAAGCAGAAATATAAAGATTACTGACAAAACAACATTCAAAGATGAACTGCTCTGGAAAATGGAGGGGCTGGCTTGCTGTGACTGGTGGTGTTTTAGTACATTTGACATTGGGAACGATTTATAGCTATGGTGAGTTGGGGAAATATTTGTCTGTCGGTCCCACGCGTTCATTTAATTTTGTGTTGTCAAACTGGACTGCCCTCGAAATCGAAATGAAGTCTTTGCCGAGGCCGACCTGCCGCTGGCCTTGAGCACTTCCAATCTAACGATGCATTTTGACTACATGCCATCATAGGGTCATGCCAGTCATGCTGTACTAATGCAGTTTAAATTTCAATGATCTTTAATTCATTCTTTCATCACTCATCAGTTCATCTAGCGTCTCTCAATTCTGTAGGCTATTCATTCATTCATCTGTTCATAATAATATTTCATTCATAATTTTTCTTCACCTTTAGATCTATTCGTTTTTAGTTTTTGTTGACATGTAAGAATAGATGTATGAAATGTTGATTATGGTTTTAACTTCTTCTTGGATTGTGTTAGACAAACATAACCATCTGCTTTGGGAAATTTTCAATAAAACTGACATTTTTCAACCTTCTTCAAACACAGATGCATGGTAACCCTTGCCTTGCCGGCGTTGCCGCACGCACTAGGCCAGGTTGATGGGGGAGGGGGGGGGGGGGGGGAGGATTAGATTTTCACATGAAAATTCAGCGAAAAAAATTGCCCTCAGACGCAAACTTAGGCCTCTGGTTTTTCTTCAACAGTTTTATTTATAAAAGAATATGATTAGAAAAAAAAATAGTTCTAATTTTAATATACTATCAAAATAACATTGAAAGTCATTGTAAGTTATCACATTTATGGGACTTACTTTTAGCTAATCTGTCCGTTTTCTTGAGAAGAAAAAAATGTGCGCGATTAGATCGGCAACCACACACAAACTGTATAGCGTAACCTTCCCTCACTAACCCGCATAATGTACTTCAGTCTCTGTACAGAGGCTATCAGTGGAGCCAAACATTGTCTCAGCGGAGCAACCTCTGATATCAGAGACTGAAGCTTATCATCCCTTTTTCAGTGCACAAGGCTGAAATATAACCTCGTAAACCAGACTAATGTGGTTTATGGTGAAAGTACCAGTAATAACTACCTGCCATCTATTGCATATAGAAAATACACAAATGCAGTGATTTTGCATCCACCAGCAGCAAAATTGCAGCACATAGCGGCATATAACCAGAGTCGGTATGCCCTACCAGAAAGAAAAAAAGAAAAAATAAGAATCACTATGAAAGCAAAAGAGTTTACTTTAAATGCCTAAGTCTGAAAGTGAACCCATTTAAAAATAAAGACCAGGTATGGTCATGCGATTGCATTGTGAAAGAAACGTTGTGAAATCGATTAGAAAATGTTGATCATCTAGCATCTAGCATCTGCAAGGTTCTGGAATCATCAAAATGATAAGAAATTTGGCCCAGTCTTCATAAAGTTACAAGCACTGTACACAGAAAGATGTATATGGAACTACGCACACATACGTTTTTATCTCTCACACACCCATGGATAAACTAATTTACCAAATATATCAATTAATAGGCGGTTTCCCGGTAAAATGTTTTAATTATTCAAAACATATTCTTTCACATGATAGGTAATAAGAGCTTCCATTTCATTTTTTGAAATTGGGGCGTTTCCAATACTGGTCTTTACCTTTAAAGTTTAATAGAAGATAGCCATCCATTAGAGTAATAAAGTTTGTAACGTTTTCTCTGTTTTCTCTTGCTTTTTTGTCTTTGTCTGCAGGTAACATGGCGCCGTATATGACATCCTACATTCGCAAGTACAGCACTCCTGCAACTCTTTCATATCAGGTAGGACAGTGTAACATTTCAGGGTGACTACAAAAAAGCATCATCCAGCTTTTTTTTTGGTTAGAACCCTATGAAAATGTAGGGATCTACCGGTAGTCAGATCGTGGTTACCATTGCTTGTCACAGCACTGCTGTGCCGGCACAGACTCTTTTGACTCTTCAACAAAATTCCATTAAAGCCTTTAGGCTAGCCTATAAACTTTGGCCATCATGGGAAGGATCAGGATCGGGCCCTGTTTCATCAAACTTGCTATCATTAACAAGTTACAAGCTACTGTTATAAGCTACTGAAATCATGGCATCTGATTGGCTTAGAGCAAATGTGTCATAGAAATTTAGCATTTCTTATTGATAACACGTTTTATGAAACAGGGCCCAGGATCAGGTGAGAATACAACAATATAATGGTTTGCAGAATATCGCCCCTGGCCTCTTGGGAGAGCCAGCCGGGTCCTGACATAAACAAGAAATTGTGCAATAGGCATGATTTAATGCCAGCTCAGAATGATTTAAGTGATTAATTTGGGTTTAAACATTAATACTTTTTATTTTTCAGGCTAAATTTGTATTAACAATTTCCAAAAATACATCTTTGCTTCACCTTGAATTTGACATATTTTGTTCATTGTAATAATTTCTCTGGTAAACCATTCAAACTATATACAATTTGGGTCGAGAAACACAAATCATCATACAAAATCGCTAATGAAAAAGTAGGAAAATTACAGTCAGTTCATGTTGTGAAGATATACTTTGAAAATCATATGTATTATGTTGATTTAAGTATAGATATGAAAAACAAATTCTAAAGAATCATAAATACTATTGCATTCTGCCATGACACCTACATGTAAGTGTGATGCTGCAAAATCACCCTGAAAATCACATTCAGTTCAGTCTACCCAAATCATTCAAGTTCAGAAACAAAACGCTGAATAAATCTTCACTTAGAGCTGTTGTCTGACTATTGCATTTCTTTCTTTGTGTATTACAGGAGTCATCCTTTGTTTTTGCCTTGATGCTGTTTGGCCAGGGTACCTCCATGGTTCTCGGGGGCTACATTGAATCCAGACTAGGCCCTAGGATCACAACGCTGATTGGCTGCTTGCTGGTCAGGTGAGTGTGAGTCGACCAATCAGATAAGGTCTGTCAAAAGACTCTTCTTTTTTTAAGGATTGATGAGGGGCATATTTAGATGATTAAAGGGCAAGTCCACTCGTGTAAAAAGTTCATTTGTGTGAAAGCAGAAAAATAAGATAAACAGAATGGCGAAAGTTTGAAATAAATCGGACCGATAATTAGAAAGTCGTAAACGTTTGGAATATAGGTCAGTGGACTGTGATGCAGTAGCAGATAATTCTCCTGTTTTATCGTGTATAAAAATATCGCCAATTCTGTTTTTTCTCCAAAGTGCCTCCACCTTAAAGTAGGGCACTACTCAAAATATATTATGAAGAGTACCAGCTATAGTATCAGGTCCTCTAAAAAAGAAAAGACCATCCCTGATTTTCTGATTTTAGTGTTGGTTTTCTGATTCTCTGATTTTAGAGTTCATGGTTTTCCCTGTAATGCTATACCACATACCTGCAGAAAATTGTACATTTGATATGGTGCATAGCTAATTTCTTTGAAAACTCTCCTTATCAAATTTGGTGCCTGCCAGGAGAGCCAGAAGGGCATTAACTCTATATACTTTAACACACAGTTAACACCCTTTTGCCTCTGAAAAGACTATCTTCTGCTGAGTTTGAAAAGGGCATTAGCTTAATACATACTTTTACATACAGTTATTAATACAAAGTTTTGGTATGGGGTCAGAAAAACAATTCAAATAAACATATTGGAAGCATATATGCAATTTTACAATATTCAATGAGCGATGTCGCGGTTGAAATGGAGTCTAAAGTGATGACATTGCAAATAATAAACTCTTTATGCTGTATAGCTCCCTCTCAAGACTGATATTACTTGGCTTTAAAACAATGTTTATTGACTACAGTCAACCAATTTGCTATTCTTCTTTGGAAACTATTTATCAGAACTGCATATTCTGAGATTTTCATGGTTGCAAATTGTACCATTCTATTCCTATTATTCAATTCTTGAAAGCAGAAGTGTTTTAGAGGCTAAATTTTCTTGTGCTTATAATACATGTACATCCACAAGGGCATCCAAATATATCAAAAGTTTAAAGAATTGCTATCCATCAAATTTTTCAAACTTCCCAAAACTTTGAAATACCTTTAAGACCCTCCTTCTTCTATTTTTTTTTTACCATTTAGCATCATTTGATATTACTGAGAAACTTTTAACTTTTTTTTAATTTTTTTAATTCATTTTACAGCATTTTGTGTGAAAGAAGCTTCAGATATCAGACATTTTGAATAGAGCAGACATTATCTCATGTACCCTTCCATTGATATTTCCTTGCAGCGCGGGCATGATGTTGTCTGCCCTATCCATCAAAGTGTCTTTCTTTCTGCTGCTGTTGACCTACGGCCTCATCTTCGGCCTAGGAGTGGGCATAGCCTATGTGCCTCCGCTCGTCTGTGCAATGAAGGTTTTTCAAACTTCCTTGTTAGTCTCCAATTTCTTCATAATTTCCAGAATTTGTATGATTTTTAATGTTTTGAATTCTGTGAATTCATTTGTACTTTAGCCTTTGGCTAAAATGAGGGAATAAAATACCTTGAATAGAATTGTAAGACTATGATTGTTTCATGTTACTTTTGTATATTTATTATTTTATGGTTTTATGATTGAAATAAATGATGATGATTTGAAATTGAATTGAAAATTAAGCACAGCAGACAGGTCCCATTGGGAAGCTCTTCTGAAGTTGAGAATTGAGAATGCAAAATTAATTTTGGACTCGATAGCCATACTATTCCTGTCCCTTTGTCAGATTGGATAATCATAAGTAACGAAAAAGTGCTGAGGTAATCTAAAGTTATGCAGGTTCAAAAGTTTGGATCACCAAATACGTTTTTCTTTTCTCTCTGTTTTTTTATATTTAAGTGGCTGCCGGAGAAGAAAGGGCTTGTGAACGGTCTGGTGGTGGCTGGTTTTGGGGGCGGGGCATTCATCTTCAACCAAATCCAGACCGGCTACCTCAATCCCCACAACCTATCCCCGAATGTCACGGATCCCCAAGACCATACAGCCAAGTAAGTATAATAACAATATTTTTGCTTATATAGTGCTTAATACGTCAGGAATGTCTGACTTTCTAAGCGCTTTACATTATTACCCGATCATCAGATTCTGGCTTGCCCGCACGCAATGTATGCACTTTCTCCACTCCCTGGGGAGCATTCCAACAAGAGCTACTAGGCTCAAATTGCTAAGCATACCACATAGGCTTTCGCATCCTACCGGGTACCCATTTTAACACCTGGGTGGAGAGTGGCAAATGTAGATCAATGTCTTGCCAAAGGACATTAGTGCCGCGGCAAGCACTGAATCCAATGACCGGGGTAATAGTATATTTGTAAAGCGCTTACCTAGAGACATTTGCAATAAGTGATATATAAAAATTAAATATTATTATTATTATTATTCTGTACAGATTAGGATGATTCTATCACTAAATGTAGACAACATGAATAGGCCATTTTTGTAACATAATCAAATGCAATGATATGGGGTATGTGCCCATATGGGTAGTTGCCCAAAGGATATTTATCTTGGCGACTGGATGCAAAAAATTATCAAAGTCATAAACATGAAGAGTAATTTTCTTTTTTTCTCCAGATTTTATGATCAAGACTCTATACTGGACAAAGTTCCAACGTCTTTTGTACTACAAGGAGGGATCTACCTGGTGATCCAGATTGTAGGAGTACTACTGCTTAAAGACCCTCCAGTAAATGGGGTACGTAAGAGTTTGGTCAGTGTGTTTTTATGGCGCGTGCTATGCCGACATTTGCCCCATGGTCAGCTAGCGATCACCAATACATTTTGCTTTGTATGTAAGAGGTTCTATGTCGATATGCATTATTCAATTATTGGCTCATATATTACACTTACAACAAAGAAATATTACAGTCAAACCTGTTTTAGTGACCACTTATCTACAGAGACCACCTGTCTACAAAGAGCACTTTTTGTTTCCCTTGAAAATGGTTTCTCATTGAAACATGTACTAAAGGAACCTCTCTACAAAGACAAATTTTTGTGTTTCCCTTGGGCGGTCACTAAAGGCAGGTTTGACTGCACTCAAATGCGCATTCATTAAAAAAAAAAAACTTGATGCACCTCATACACACTCACAAGAAATAGGGCCTGTATGGACCCCAAAGTCCAAGTTGGGTTCCATGCATGCATTGTTATGTTATTCCTTGTTTTCTTTGTAACCCTTTGCTATGAAGTATCTCTGAAGCTGCCAGTGTAACTTATGAAAAGAAGTGCCTGACCAAAATACTGATTTCCGCTGCAATAGATGCAATAGGATCAGTTATGGAAAGCAGTTAGCATCATTGAAAATATTTTGTAAAAATTATTTTAAAAAGCATAAAATGTTGATTCAAATCATTCGTATTTTCTATTATCTTGGGAGATTTCATGTTCTTGATGTGGAATTTATGAAAATTCTAAAATACATGAATTTTGCTTTTGAATGCATTTCATTATAAGGCTACAAATGGCTCTCCATAATAGTTAAATCCAACTTAGAGTTGAGTTCGAATTAGAATCTTTGTGAAACACCCCCCAGGTCAACAATTCTCTCTACAACGACGAGAGTGGTCTTCTGGATGCCCAGACCGTGGCTAGGTCGACGACAATCGATGCCTCTGAACCCAACGGTCCAACCGAGGAAGGAAGCGAGGAGGATCACACCAAACCGTTCCCTTTTGGAATCCCCTTCCCCGTGGACAACGGCAAGGACACCAAAGCCTCGGGCCTGGACCTACCTCCCAAAGTGATGGTGAGGACGACCGCCTTCTGGTTGCTATGGGCAACCTTCCTCGTCAATGGGCAAGGCATCATGTTCATCTCGAGTCTCTACAAGGTACATATACATGTATACAAGTATGAGGATTGGTAAAGCTAGTTATACATGTTGCAGTGGTAGTCTCAAATTTTATTGAACTTGTATACAATTATTTGTCAAATTACTGCCCTCTTACATTTGATTTTGTACGTATTAAAAGTAAACATATTCTGTCCTGGTCATTATTCCACGTCTCCCAGGAACCTATTCTTTACAAGATATGCTTTTCTATAGGTTCCTGCACATTTCACAGTTATGTACTTTTCTTGTCTGGGTTTCTTTACATGATAATAGTTGTCAAACATATTTGATGATAAATAATTTTGTATTCTGATCATAATCAATTTATGTATATTTTGTTATCTGTATTGAATCTGCATGTGAAATGTGAAACCAATCAACTCAAACTTTATACAATGCAGCTTGATGTCTGGGTACATGCATGTTTTGGATTGTGAACAAGGGAATCAAATCCAAACATTTTCACCTAGAAAGGTTTAATGTGTGTTGAAAATTAAACAAATTTTGAACGTTTTTTTCATTTGCTTGATGGAAAAAGCATTTTATGCAAAGTACTTTATTTTGTTCAACTGACTTCTACGTCAATGACTAGAAAATATATGTATATCACCTTGTGAAGTAGTCTTTACCATCTTACTCATAAACATTGGATATTTGTATACTATTGAAAAAACATGTACATTAACTTGACCACCCCTTTTTTAAATTTTGAAATAGAAAAGCTGCATCTTCCATCCAATGAAATAGTTTCACTATCTTACTCATAAACATGTCATATTAGTTTACTATTGACCAGACTTTCATATTCTACCTTTTGTCCAGGCATATGGTCAGATGTTTATCCAGGATGACCACTTTCTTGCTCTGGTGGGATCCTTTGCTGCTGTCTTCAATGCCGGCGGCAGGCTGTTCTGGGGCTGGTTGGCCGACAGGTTCTCCTACAAGGTGGGTCAATAGAATACAAATAATACACAGCAGTGAGGGCATTAGTAAGAATTACCCACACACAAGGTATCTTTGGAACAGTCTAACACGCCCGATGCGATAGCCGAGGATGTTTAGACTGTTTCGAAGGTACCGAGTGTGGGTAATTTTACTAATGCCTGAACAAAATGATGTGTATTATTTGTTTTATAATATGATTTTGATAATGACCATAAGTATTGACTAATGTCCGGTCATTAGTGAAATTACGTATTAGGCAAAATAAATGCCTGGTCACGTGTACGCTCCCATCATTTGATTAGGATCTGCTTCAAGTGTCTACCTCCTTATCTTGTAAAAATCTTCAACTCCTGTCATCATGTCATAATGGAATTGATTTTTATTTTCCCATTCATCAATGAGTTGATTCTATTAATTCGTTTGGAAACAGGGTGATGGTGATTTGTACAGAACAAAAATGTACCCTTGCACTCCATAAATTAGTGGACTAATCTATTGGCCAGGTTTAAATTTTGTAATTTCTTTTCTTTTCATCAGCTGGCGATGATTTTACTGACTGGATCCAACGCCATCTTCCTTCTCACCCTGGTTGCTGCCCAGTACGGAGGCAGGGCCATGTTCTTTGTCTGGATCTGCGGCATCTTCTTCACCTTCTCCGGGAACTTTGCCCTCTTCCCGACAGCCACTGCTAGGTAAGGTCATAGGTCACGGGCAGGTCATGTGAGGTCAACAGAGATGCCAACCAGTACGATTAAATCGTATTTAGTATTTAGATAATAAGAGTGAAAAACGATAATAGGATTACACCTTTTAAAATACGATTTTTCAAAAGAAAAAAAAAAACCCCATAAAAACAGCGGAATTGCATAGAAGTATATACAAGTAAACCCCTCAACCCCCAAAAAACTTTGCTTCACAATTTTCTCATTAAGTTTTAATGAAAGAGCAAACATTTTAATTGAACGTACTTATCAGTAAAACAATTTTCTGAAAGTCTGTAGTGGTGGAGATTTTGGACAACTGCAGAATACCTAACCACACAAGTAGCCCTAACACTAACCCTAGGGCATAGAGCCTAAACCAGAAACTAACCCTAGCCCTAAACCTGACCCTTACCCTGAAACTGAACCTGACCCTACAGCTTTGGGAATGCATTTAACAAGTTCCCCCCTTGCTTTCCCCTCCTCCCTCTCTATAAGCATTTGGATGCAACATGTAGTACCCAACTGTTTGATTGTCTTAAAGCCTATCTGCACTAGTTTGGCCAGGAGGGATTAGACCTACACTGTACCTGCCTGGTAACCAACAGGTAGTTATCTCATCAATCAGCTCTCAATTATTAGACAAGGGAAACGCTCTCGGTGGTCTCGCCTGCATTACGCAATTCGATATGATGAAAAAGTGAGGTTGGAACATTACCCCGGTATTTATAGGCAGGATGGCCCATTAGCAGGCCCCAAAAAATGAAATCCTCTGAATATAATCAGCGTTTTGAAGTGAATTTTCAGTGACAAAGAATCATCAGAAGAATATTTCCTATTAATTGTACAAGGATCAATAACTTTAATGAAACATGAACAAATTAATTAAAAAATTTTTTTATTAAGTTGTGAAAACATAATTCAAGTCTACTGACCTAAAAACGAACTTTGACCTTGTGACCTGGAATTTGTGTCGTATGATTTGTGATACTTGATAACCCTTGGGTACAAGTTTCATGGAATTTGAACAAACAATTTTGAAAATATGCTATAAATTCAAAATTTTGATGTTGATGCCACAACAAAGTCTAAGTTTGTTGACCTTTGACCTTAACTTAGTGACCTGAAATTCTACTCACATGATTGGGGATACTTGATAACCCTATAGTCCAAGTTTCATTGACTAAGAACTTTTACTTTCAAAATTATATCAAAAATTAAAAAACTTAACCTTAGGTTAAGTTTTCGATGATGATGCCACAACATAGTCCAAGTCTGTTGACCTCAAATGACCTTTGACCTTGACTTTGTGACCTGAATTTCTACTCACATGATTGGGGATACTTGATAACCCTATAGTCCAAGTTTCATTGACTAAGAACTTATACTTTAAAAATTATATCAAAAATTCAAAAACTTAACCTTAGGTTAAGTTTTTAATTTTGACGACGCCGCCGCCGTCGCCCGCTCCGGAAAAGTGGCGTCTATGTCTCGCCTTTTGCTACGCAGGCGAGACAAAAAAGGGCACTATGGTGGACCAATGGTCACCAATTAGGCATTGTTTGCTATATAGAGGGTGCAAGTAGCTATAAGTAGTGCAGTGGGGCTTTAACTTGCAAATTCACAACTTTCTCCTTTGTTTCATTCTTCCATTCCCAGGGCTTTTGGATCCAAGTACATAGGACCCAACTACGGGATCGTGTTCACTTCAGTGGCTCTCTCATCTGCGCTTGGAGCCGTGCTAGTGTCAACCCTTCATGAACATCTATCTTGGTTTGGAATGTTTATGCTCATGGGTGGATTCTCAATCATCGGTGAGTCACTAAAGAGTCCCATTAAAATCATCTTCAAGATGTAATGTTTGATTTATGTTTATATGTGTTTATTTTTTTGTCACTTTATTGATTTAGTTAAGTTTTTATTTATTTATTTATTAATTTATGCATACATTCATTTGCATGTATTTATGTATTTATTTATTCATGTCTTTATTTATTTATGTAATTATATATTTACTTCTTCGTTTGTTTCATTACTCAGTCAGTCAGTGATTTCTTTTTCTTCATCTTTATCTTCGTCTCCATGTTATTATCATTATTATCATCATCATCATCATCATCATCATCATCATCATCATCATCATCATCATCATCATCATCACTGGCTTCCAATTACTTACAGAAGTCAACACCAGACACTTGTACAAACTTTTAAAGCTATATGTCAACCAGTCTTCCTCAATTATATCTTTCTAAATGTACTATGGAGTTTTATTTTAACTGTTCTGTATAAACGTAATTTACGTTATGCTTTTTGATGTAAATATGTTCATGATTATTCAGGGCCCCATGGAAGACCCCTTCTTATTGGAAAATGGAATACCCTGACAAAAGATTAGAAATATATAATTAAATACATCTCCTCACTATTTTAGTAGCAGAGAACACCATGTTTACTTCAAACTACTTCAGCTCCTTCCGTTCTCATTTCCCAAATCCCCAAAACTGGCTGGCTTTAAATTTGTTAAATCTGTTTCCCCCTAAGCCTTTGGAATAAGCTTCCTGCATTTCTTAGAAATCGTTCTTCACATAATTTTTTTTTTTTAATCTGAAAACATGCCTCAACAATTCTAGAAATAGTACTTCAGTCTTCACTTGACTTCTTCAAAAAAAACATCTGGTCCCTATTGCATAAAAGTTACACTGATGGTAACTTTGCCATCAATATTTAATTACCAAGGCAACGTCATTCAACAGCTAATGAAATCAAGGTTTCCATGGAAGCTACCATTAATAGCAAAGTTACCATCAATGCTAAGATTTATGCAACAGGACCCTGAAAGCAAACCTCTACAATTCGTTTTAACTTGTTAATAACCTCAGGGACAGCGCCTTGTATCCCCTGAAAAAGGCGCTATGTAAATCCAATTATTGTCATTATTAATTGGTCAACATTACTAGTGCATAGGAGGAGAGAGCAAACTTAGCTACTGTAACCTTAAAGCTTATCTGCACTAGGGATTAGACCTCCCTGCATGGTCACTGACCGGTGATTATCTCATCAAATCAGCTCTCAATTAACATAAGAAAAAGGGGATCATGGGGGACCAACGGTGACCGATCAGGCATTGTTTGCTAAATAGAGGGCGCAAGTAGCTAGTGCAGTGGGGCTTTACAGTCTAATTTCTAAAGAATCTTTTTTTTTTCTCCCTACAGGTCTTGTCCTCACATTCTTCTTCAGAGTGAAGAACCAACAAGGGCAGCATATCTGAGGAACCAAACGTCCAAAGATTTTCTACGAACTACTCCCAAGATAGGCTTTTTTTTGTTGTTGTTGCCAGTATTCATAGAGGTGGATTAACGTCTTGTGTGTAGGAAATGCTAACAATTTCTGATTCACAAACAGTGCGTGCTGTGGAATATTTTATTCACGACTGACGCGGCACTGAATTTTTGGAAATTCACGAATGTTCCCATACCAAAAGCCTTGTAACCATGGGAGACATTTTATTCCCAGTTTATCATAAGTTGGAATTTTACTTGTGAAAGTTCATTTCCATGTGCGACAATTGTCCAAACGCTTTTTGACATGAGAAGAGGAATTTGAAGAAAGAAAAAGGAATTAAAATGGAGGAAATTGATAGGAGACTGGCATCGTTTACATACAGCTAACAACTGAATTATTTATACCATTACCAAGTTTTCTTATTCTTGAAGTATGTGAACAATTAATCACTTCAGCTGGTTAATTACAGCTCCACATCTGAATGATGATTTGAACCAGGGCCCTGTTTCACAAAACTTGTTATCAAAAGCAAGTTACAATAATTGTTATAAGCTACTGAAATCTTGGCATTTGATTGGCTGAGAGCAGATTTGTCATAGAAATTTAGCATTTGTTATTGATAACAGGTTTTACAAAACAGAGCCCTGGCCTAAAGTTAGTATGCCTTTGTGAATACCAGTCTTTATGTTTATAGTCAGAGATATATATAACACAGATATGTATGTATATTTAGGCAAAATTCTATGAGTACTTCAGAAATGTATTTAGTATTGATGCTTTGTAAAAGCGACGTGTATCTTTTCTGCAATGGGCTTTACAAATTAGCTGCTGATTATTTGATGTGCAATATCTATGTTTGCAACTTGACAATGAATGTATTAAATGTTAAATTAAATCATCATTTGAAATCTTTGTTGTAATATATTGTATAAGCAGTTATTTTCGCCATGTTTTATTATCGGTTATCGTTTTTGATAGGAGTATCCTATTAACTCTCACCTTTGATGTAGTATTCAATGTAGTAGTCAGTTAGGACAGAGAAAATATACCTCGTAAGTCTGTTAGATTCATCATGACTAGTTAACACCTTATTTGTATTCCTTTCGTGTAAAATTGCCAAACACAAATAGTATTATTATTCTATTCTAGAATGCACAATGTGTACATGTCAGGAATATTGTGTCGATTTACATCTACAAGTGTTCATCTATGTATCGTTTTTCTTTTTATAATGTGTGTCAAATGTACAATGTACATGTGCCTTGCAGTTTGTGTTATATCTATCTTAGTTTCATCAGTAACAAAGTAATAATTCATTCCGATTCCTTTTGTGTAAAATGTCCACGTCCAAGCACAATGCATTTATTATCTATTCCAGAGCGATTCTGTTTATTTACAAATGTACCTCTATGTAAATTTAACTTTGTGTGTAATATGTATTTTGTGTTAGATCTTTCTTAGTTTCATCACAACTATATAATATCCCATTCTGATTCCTGTTGTGTAAAATGGCCAAGCACAAATAGTATGCATGTATTTTCTATTCCAAAATGTACATGTAGATATCAGAGCCACATTTGCTTCAAGTTGTAGACAGTCAACTTTAATTGTAGACAAAAGGCTAATTTTGTTATGAAACCAAATTTATGCATAGCCTTTGTGAAGCGTCTCAATACAAATTATTTCATTCACTTTCAAATAAATGTACCTCAATAGTCAGAATTCAAATTGCATACATAAGTTGTTGCTAGGAAGGAAAAACATCATGTATACTGTTCTACCTATTGATAGTGCTTCGATCACTATTGTTTTGCACAAAGATATATTTTTTTTATCAGACAGCCCAATATGAATATATTGTATGTAACGACCTGTTAAACATCATTCCTTGGGGCTTTTGATATTTGCTGCTGTTTGATATTTTGTTTTGCCATACGTGTTTCATCTACCTACTTATTTCCTAATGCATGGGGCAGGAGTTATTGAAATTTGCTGATATGAACAATTTTGATATTTGTTTTGCCATACATTCTTTACAAAGACATAATTTTTGATCAGACAGCCTGACATGAATATATTCTACATAACAACTCATGTGTAACATCATTCCTTAGGAGTTCCGAAATTTTGCTGACGTTTGATATTTTGTTTTGTCATACATGTTTCCTCTTAACCTACTTATTTTCAAATGCATGCGGCCATCAGTATAGTGTATATATCCTTATCGTATTTTGTAGCTAAACGTACATGTCTCGTTACTCTATGGTCTGGAAAATGTTTTATATTTTACATACCGGTAGATTGTTCTATGCACAGCACTTATGCACTCTTAGTACTACAGTATTATGTTTGAAAAAGAATTTGTTATTATTTAAAAGAAATAGTCTGATTACTTTGATCTATGTAAAATGTATCAACTATCAACTACATTTGCTGAGCAGGAAAACATTGAATGTAGAGTCTTTCAGGAGTTATATTCTGAAAATTGTTTATCTTAACTTTAGGGAGTAGGGAGTTGTTTTTTTCCCAATTAAATCTCACATTTTGGACAACCATCTGTTAATGACTGCATACATGTTGGTAGGTAATACTTAAGAGACATTTGGTGCACCAACACCAATGAAAAATTTAAATTTAGACTTTGTTGTTGAAGAAAATTACTCTAAAAATAACCATAAGATACAAAATGTAATTTTTCAGAATATCACCCCCTGGTCAATGAAGACTAGTAATTGTGCAATATTTCAAGTAGCATATGATGTTATATTTAGTGAGATTAAATAAGTTGCTTGCAAAAATGAATTGGTGATTATAATTCTCTTTATCAACATATGATTTATATGAAGTGTGTGGTATACATGTATGTCATTGTTCATTATTTAAGAATAGCAAACAGATAAAGAAGAGAAAGAGGGCAAAGTAGAGATAAATAAATATGGAGGGAGAATGAGAAACTGGAGAATAATTACAAGAGAGAAGGGCTTGGCATATACATGTCAAATTACGTTTACTTAAATCATCAAATTTGTGTTGTTCACCATCGAAAGCACACTACACGACCCTCCTGCGATCCGATTTTCTGATCATGAACATTCCAAGAAATGGCAATAATGTTAGATCTGGAAATCTAAACAAACATCATCTCACTGGTTGGATACTAACAACCAGAAGTTTATTATTATTTGAAATCATGATTAATTTTTAGTTCCTTTCGTTTGAATAGTAAATTGCTGAAAATAAAAGCTGGAACAGAATAAAAATGAAATTTATCACAGTAGACCACATTTGTATCAGAAAATTCCATTTTATTTTCATTGACGCATAAATTACAATCATAGATATTAGTGGCATTGTATATTAGACTACATGTAAACATACAATACAAAAAGAAAATATACATATATATATATATATACTCTACTGAAATTATTAAAAGCACAATGGTACATGAAAATATTAATAGTGGAAGTAGAAAATAATTGGTCCTAAGTTTCAATGGAAATCTCTATTACTGTGAATTTCATATCATACGTGTAGGTCCTTGGTAAATGGAACGTCAATTCATTATTGCAGGAAATACATCGTCAATGGACAAAAAATAAATATGCATGTGCAGCTAACATGTACCTGTATACTTTTGATTCAAAAGTGGGTAAAAAAAGACACAAAGGTTTATTTGTTCATACTACAGGTATAAGTACGAGTTGTTTTGCATTAATAATAATAATGTATTTATATAGCGCATTTTCCATATGCATGTTTAAACAGGTATTACAATTATTTTATTAACAGAAGAGGTGAGTTAATTCTGAGATATTTTTAAAGGTATCGAGAGATTGCTGGAAATACTGTTTTATTTACTGCAGTTGCCATAGCCTGGGTACATACAGAGGGATTGCCTGTACAGAAGAGTGAGTTTTTTGCTTTAATACACGCACACAAAAAAGAAACAATTGGTTCTAAATTCACAATCTTTGTTATGAAGATGTATTCAAAATACATGTTGGGTCTAAATTCACAATCTTTGCAAAGTAAATGTATTCAGCAAATATGTGTATGCTATCAACTACATTTCCCCCTTCTGATTTACATGGAATAACAGGCTATTAATAATTCATACCCTCACTCAATCAATACAGTTTATACTTTTCTTTTATTCATTTTACACCCCCGATCATTTTGTTGTTGCTATATCAGGCAAATCTAAACGAGCCTTCATTTTGTTAAGCAGTGTTTGTCTGCACTGCACGTATAACATTAGCATAATACAAATCTGGTGGGGGGGGGGGGGCGAGAGTAAGGATGCTCCAGCAACAATTGTTATGCAATCAAGTTTCCCTTACTAATCAAATTCTTCCACCCTGGACCAAACACTAACCCTAACCCTTACCTAAGCTAACTCACAACGTAACCGCAACCCTTGACCCTTACTCCTTATCTTTGATAGAATAAAGCCTGAAAAAATTGTAGCCAGGGAAAATAATAGATGATAAAAGTTTTACTACATCATATATCTTTTGATAGTCAGCTGCAAACTACAGCCACGACTACGCCAGTAAAAAAAAAAAAAAGGGGGGGGGGGTATCAAAAATTACAAATTAAAATTAAAAAACCCATAAATCAAGGAAACCCCAAAAAAAATCGTATAAAAAGTGAATATTCTTTTGAGGTAATAAAGAAAATGATAAAAGTATCAAAGATTTTACAATATGTGTGAGGTCGGCAATTGCTTTGCAGTTAATTTTTTAACTCGAGTGGATTTTCAAACTTCACCACTGTGATGAACCTTAACCCCAACCCTAACCCTAATCCTTAAATAATCCTTAATCCTAATTGAAACCAAAATCCTAACCTCCGACCTTCCTGTCTTTGACCAAATAACCGCTGAACAATCGTTGCTGAAGGAAATGTTAGGTTATTAAACTTTAATTGTAGAGACTGATTGCAGTATTTTTTTCAGCCCATGCACAAGCATGTTACTCTCTCTTTACCGCAAAACATTTCATGAATATCATCAAATATTGAAAATGCAAATCTTATGCAGCGGTGCATCAATAATCCTGATTAAATGAAATAGACCTGTACCGGTATTCAAAAATTTGAGGAAATTTGTCATCCCCCTTTCTTAAATAATGTCATTCATGATAAAACTAACATTTGCCACTAAACTGAAACATTATATTCTTCAAACAATTCAATACAATTTGTATCTCTTAAATTAAATATACAGAAATAAAGTTGTTATTGTCAGACAGCTTTAGAATTAACAGGATTTGTTATTCTGAGTGAGAAAAATAATGGTTTTGGCATATCTTGGTAAAAAAAAAAACTATGACAGAGAGATGTTTACAACTTTAATGAGATACACGAGTAGTTTAACATGTGCAGTACAGTAGCTACAAATTACATAAACTTAATTTACTTGTTAAGATTAACACATAATCAGTTAGCACTGAAATAATCTTGTAATATTAATACAATAATATTATATGGGAATGCTTGAATGTACATATACAATCATAGATATACATTTTCAACAAAAACAAAAAACATATCCTTTCTTTGCATATACACATATAATCTATAGTTGATTGATTTTTTTTATTATGCTTTGAAGGCATGGTATTCTCCTGGCGCTACTTCGATTTACTTAACGTTTGCATCATACCAGGTAGCCATGTAACACCTGGATGGAGAGGGGCAAATGTAGATTAATGTCTTGCCAAAGGACATGAGTGCCGCGGTGGGACTTGAATCGCGAACCGTGTGATCCACAGTGTGGTGACATATCCACTAGACAACAACACCTCTACATATAATATATATCTTCTCTGGAATGCCAAAATGTTATCATATGATTTTTAATGTCATACATGTACATGTACATGCATAAACTTTTTCTCTTATTAAAAATAATTTACAAGTCATGGTTACAAGAAATTAAACAAACAATGATAAAGAATGTAATATTTCTTTCTCAGTAGTGCAAAAAATTAAACAAATATTACTTATATCTACTGCATCATCCATAATTTTTTTTTTTTTAAAGAAAACACATGTCCCTTTAACATTTTCTACAAAATATAGTATAGTGTACATGCAATTTTTTTCTCCTTTCATTTTCTTTTTCACATTTTCTTTGAAACAGAAATATATAACCAGACCTGCCGGTGTATATCCAGATATACATATCATAATCATCATCATGAACAAAAATAGATCATTATTAAATTCTTATATATCATATTCAGGTATTTACAAACCAAAACAAGCAAATATAAGCTTTGTAGATTGATACTGCTTCTACTAGCCCTAATATATACTGAAGCATTAATTTATTTCTATGCATGGAGTTATATGTATGATGATCATTATTGCTGCAATCCTTAGGAGTGACTATGACATGAGTTTGTATATACCGTAGTTGCGGTAGCAAAATATGAGTGGCTGAGTTTAAAACTATAACGCATATTGGACATATTGGACCACATCATTTGTAGAAAATGCACTTCTGGCTACAAATTTGGACTACCGGTAGTCAAAATAGACCTGGACTACGTGATCTGGACCTAGATTACAAGTATTACAACCAGCTCAGAGTTTTTCAGTGATAACAAGGAACCATCTACATGCAGACTACAGTATCAGTTGCTTTGGCCTTAGGATTGCTTTTCTACAAATTTAGACTAAGCCATCAAGACAAGGGCTACTTGACCTGGACCAGTGCTACTGTCTTCTCCTTGGGATACAATGCTTTTTCTGTGATAAAACATATATCCTTAAAGTAGCAGTACAAAGATTTTAAAAACTAAATTTATTTTCATTATTGCAAAGGTGAAACTTTGAGAGGACCATTTTATCAAAATTCAATGCTTGGAAACATTCAAAGTAATAATTATTATCAAATACAAAGTTTCACCTTTGCAATAATGAAATAAAGTTATTTTGTTTTAATCTTTGCACAGCTACTTTCAGATTACTACTGGTTGCTTTGGCTGTAGAAATGCACTTCTGGCTACAAATACGGACTAGACAAACTAGACCAGGACTACCTGACCTGGACCTAGACTATTATCTCCTGCTCGGCGGGTTGTGGACCCCTCTGTGGTAGAAAGCACCGTATTCGGGGTCATCCCGGAACATGTCGTTGAGCTGCGAGAAGGTGGGTCTGTTGCAGGGTTTGTAAGACCAGCACTTGTTCATGATCTGGTAGACGTTCTGCGGACACCCCTCGGGCCTGTTCAAGCGATGACCGTTCTCTATTTGCTTGATGACCTACAAGTAGAATGAAAACAGAACAACAAGTTCTTATTAGAAGCAAATGTAAAAATGTAGATATTGACAAAGGAGGTTAATAAAACCCTGATAAAGAAAACATGCTAGAATTTTCTTTGATCGTTAACTTTATTTCATAAGAAATCAATACTTGTTCAAAAAATGGTTTGCCGATATGAACGTTTTAATCCTACTTTGCTATAAAAAAAAACCACATTTCTCCCAGCTGATGGATAAAAAATAACACTGTCTGATTTGACGTAGTACAGTTGTACTGCGTAAATTGCCAATTTGCATACTATAATACCTATCTTTATAAACATTGTAAAAAAGGGGAAGTTTACCCAGATATTAAGTTGGTTTGAATTGAAGCAGAAATATGAGACAAAAGTTTAAGCAAAAACCAGGTTAAAATAAGAAAGTTATGAATGTTTTAAGGTACGATCAAGCAAACACAAATTGGCAACACTGTGACGTATCTTGCATATATATCCCTTCCCATTTTCCCTGAACTAAAAAACTTTGAAAATGTATAATATCCCTGAAGATATGTATGAAACAAATTTATTCTGCCATCAATAACTAAGATAATGAAAGTTTATGAAATTTTCAATACAGATCAAATTAGAGAGGAGCTCGCAAGATATGTCACAGTGGTGCCAATTTGTGTTTCACTGATGACAACTTCAAAATTCATAACTCATTCATAATCTTTAATCTGATATTGCTCTCATTGCTTCTCTCATTTTTCTATTTTTTTTTATTACAGCCAACTTAATATTAGAATGGACATCTCCTGGAACACATTTTCATTTTTTACTATCAATGACACCACATTACACAGAATAACAAAAAACAGACAGATTGTGCACAGGGACCCGTTTCACAGAGCCTTTTTTCTATGACAAATGACAAAAATCAGTGACAAATTTGCTGTTAACCAATCAGAAGCAAGGATTTCATTAGCTTATAACAAAAACTGTCATTTGTCACTGATGACAAGTTTTGTGAAATGGGGCCCTGGTCTCTCATACTCGTTAATCCCGGGATCTTACCTCAGCGCCTGTTTTCTCGCCGTACGGCTGTGCTCCTCTCGAGTTCATCTCCCATAGCGTCACACCGAAACCCCACACATCGGACGAGTGTGAGAAGGTACCGTAGTATATAGACTCCGGCGCATACCTTATCATGGGGAGAAGAGCAAACCAGTAGACAGTGAGTACAAAGGGAAAAGATTTCAATGCATCCATTTGTTATTCATGACTATACTGTATTTGATGCCAGGAATTTTCAAAAAGAGAATAAGCTTTAAAATCCTTAAATTGTAACGCGTTGAGGGATTAGAAATCATCTTTTTTGATCAAAATTATGCATATTATCTTTTTAACCTTTATTAGCTTTTGAACAAAATTCTCATCCATGTTAATTGTTTTCAGAGACATTGTAGCAATAAAAAAAATATATAATCGTTGTCAATTTAAAGAACAATTTAGCGCTATAAAGAAACCCTGTCCTGAAGGTTTAAATTGGTACCACGAAACGATAGGGCATTAATAATTGTAGGAACCTTGGGAAGAGGGGAGTTAAAATAATTATATCGACCCTGGGCAAAAATACAACCATATATTTTATTTCTACTATTTCATTACCATATAACACTAAGATAATTAAAATTAAATAATTGATGGTATATTGTCCACTCAAGAGCGTTGGTTGTGGGCAGCTCCATTTTTTAAAACTTCCTTATAACCATTCATTTACAAAAAAAATGTTCCTATGTTCCTATATCTGAATGAAGCCTAGCGCTTCTCTTACCATTTGACCGGCCAGCGTCCACCTGTTGTTGATCTGTAGTAGTCGTTGTTAGCTCCCGTTGCCCTCGATAGTCCAAAGTCACTGATCTTAGCCTGAAATACAGTATGATGAGTAAAGATGAGTAAAGGATTAGCAAAAATTTGCATAAATATTTTGATGAGTTTAATAAGATTTGATTTACCATTTCATTTCTCAATTAACTAAACATAACATGAGGATGAAAGCAATGTAGGTGGTTTATTGTTGTGCAATTCTTCTTTTTTTAACGAAAGGTTTGTTTCTATCAAGCGCAACTAGAAACTGATGAGTATTTATTTCAACTGTTAGTTTATACAGCTTCACAAATACTTTTCTAGCTTATAAGTATTTTCACTTTAAATAAATAAAAAATGAAACAACAAAAATGATTGCAGGTACAAAGATGAAGTCATGGTGATATCATTGACACTGACAGTAATTATACTTCCTGTTTTGCCTTTTTTGCTTACAATGATCAAATGTTTTTTCCCCCCAATTATTGAATACATTTCTAGTCATGAGCAATTGAACCACTGAAGGGTAAGGATAAAGAGAAGTAGGAGGAGAAGAGGGGGGGGGGGTCAAGGGAGAAGGGAAGAGGAAGGGGGTGACCACCACCAACTCCAGACAATCAAAACCTCCAGTCACGTTTGCCTCTTCGAAGACACCTTACTGACCTGTCCTTTGTTTTCCAGCAGAATATTCCTCGCGGCCAGATCTCGATGCACAAACTTCTTTCCCTCCAGGTACATCATCCCGGAGGCTATCTGGGTGGCCCAGAGCTTCAGGTCGGACGCCGTGATGGAATCGTTCTGGAGGAAGTCTAGCAAGGCTCCCTGAGAAACCAGCTCTTGGACCTGAGGGAGAAAAAAAGAAGAATTAGATAGATGGTCTATTGGTTTCCACAATATCTCATTTTACAAAGAGTGTATAAACAACATATTAAAAATGATTATAATATACATATACATACATGGCCATACAATATCGGCACACACTATTCAGAATATTGTCATTGAGTTGAACTTAAGAGAAAAGTGGCAGAGCCTATGGAAAAGCAGAGCTTGTTGTGGATAGGCTCCTTAAGAAGAAGAGGTCTAAAGAAAAATGGACGAATGCAATTTGGGAAATTTCATGTATTAATATGTAGAGGTGTTGTGATCCAGTGGATAAGTCTTCAGACTGTGAACCACAAAGTTCGGGGGTTGAATCCCTGCCACAACACATACATCCTTTTGCTAGACAGTAATCTACACTGTACATAATTTGTCACACTCCACCTAGGTGAGGTAGAGGGTACCTGGTAGGATTATTCCTTGAAATGCACTGTCCGCTGGTAACGGCTGGTGGAGCTAAGTTTGGGTAATAATTTCCGAAGCTCTTTGGTAGCTCATAGGGAAGTTATATCATAATGTGTACAGGTTCTTCCTTTAGTACAGATTTCAATGAGAAAAACATATTCAAGGGAAACAAAAAATGCTGTCTTTATAGACAGGTAGTCTTTCTATACAGGTGGTCACTAATGCAAGTTTGACTGTAGCCCTATTATATCCCGGCCCCCTACTCAGTGTAATTTAGGGTACGTGTATGCATGTTCCCTCCCTTTGAAAGCACCCCCTATTTCTGGTGTGTAATGTCAATAATGGCCGAATTTTTTAAAGCACCCCTCTATCTCTGGTGTGTATAAGTCAATACGGGACGGACTTTGTCCCGCGAAAAGTACCCTTTACCAGAGATTCTGGGACACAAATGCGGCCCCTCCGAACCCAAAGTGGGAAGGCTGGGATTACATCCATCCAAATGAAGTCATCGATCAAAAAACCCATGGTCTTACCAGCATCATGGGGGGACCGAGGCAAACTCCCATGAGTTTGACGATACAGGGGTGGTCCAGTCCGCACATGACTTTGGCCTCCCTCAAGAACTCCTTCTGACCGGTCTGCAGGTGGTCAGCATGAAGGGTCTTCAAGGCTACCTTGACCCACCGGTCCTTCTCCTTATACTTGCCCTCCAGGACAGAACCAAACTCGCCCTGGCCGATCTCGTTACCTAGGTGTCGAATGAAATTGAAACATCCGGTCAATTGTTACATCAATATAAATCGATTGGGCTTGAGGAAAGGGCCTAGGGTCTGCATGGAGGGTCTTCAAGACTACCTTCACCAATCCGTTCCCCTTCTTTAGCTTGTCCTCCAAGACGCAACCAAAATTGCTGGAACTGATCTCGTTACCTTGTACCTTTAGAAACACTTTTTAAGCTATGTGCTATCTAAACCTAATAATTACCAGCTATGTTATCTTAGGGACGCTGTTGCACTTCAAATATTTTTTGTTTATGCATTGTTCCTACTATGTATTATATCTCGATGTAATCCACTGAATTTTATTATCTGTAAACAATTATTTTACACGGTGAATAAATAAAATAAACAAATAAATAAACAAACACTCAGAGATTTATGAAAGAACAAAATGGTATGTAATCCAACCTACAGTATACATGTATGTAACCCTAAACCTAGCCTACACAATCATGTAAAATCTAGCTGCAACACTTCCTCAAACCCTGTATAAATCTGTAGCAAATGCTCTGTATTGGACTGTCTGTCTGTTAATTTGTCTTCTCTCTCTATATCCCTCTTACCCTCATTTCAGTGCTTTAAAATGCCCTAATTTAACCAAATAAAGCCAATGAAAAAGTAGAAATGGTTTATATTTTTTCATACTATAAAAAATGTAATACATTTCCCATCCAAACTTGTTTTGTTTTTCATTGGTTGCCCAAAATAGACAGTTGCTTCCCCTGCCATATTTAATATTGATGTTATTAGCGAAACAAAACATGAATACAAAACATGCTGCGCCCACGCACAGTGCATCTATCACATGATAACAGACACATCCATCATATCGTTAATTGATGTAATTATAGTGTTAAATTAATGTCATGACAATGCCCTCAAAAGCAAAATCTATTTCATCACTAGTATTATCTCTATAGCTTACTATAAATGTAAAACCTCAATTAGAATGACTCAAATGTTCGCACAGTATTACACATTCATACTTGTATAGTTATGGTTAGGGTTAGGGTTAAGGTATACTGATGCTGGATAATCTGTAATGTGATTCAACATACTTTGGTAAACTTCCTTTTAACATGGGTTGGCATCATCAATAAATGTAAACGTATATATTTTTTAGCACAGAGATTTGAACCCATTAAAAAAAAAACAGTACATGAATTATTGTTGTAATCCACAGTGTACTATCTGTTTTTTACAATTTCGTGACTAATTTGAGGTTTCTATATATATTGCAGACCAGCTGGTATAAGAATTAGAATAATGCCACACGTCTATATGTTCAGTAACCATTTTGGGACAATAATTCCACATTTCGTTGTTTAGCTCAAATTTTTTTAATTCAGAACCCTAAAAAATATACCATATGCACGAGTAGAAAGAGCAAAGATTTCTGCACACACTTCATCCACTTTCAAGCATGAGCATATTGCGTTTGATGTAAGGATTTTTTAAAAGTAAAATAAGCTTTGAAATCCTAAAATTTACAACCAATTGACAGGTTCTGAATCATTATTTTGATCGAAATGGGCATTTTTTCAACTTTTTGAAAAAGTCCATAGACATGAATATTATTCTAATAGACATTTTATTTCATTAGAACAAGGTAGGAATTAAAGAAAACCATTATTGTTGCCATCTTGAACAACGTGTGATCAATTTAGCCCTTAAAGGTAAAGACCAGTTATGGTCATGCGATTGCATTGTGAAAGAAACGTTGTGGAATCGATCAGAAAAGGTTGATCATCTAGCATCTGCAAGGTTCTGGAATCATCAAAATGATAAGAAATTTGGCCCATTCTTCGTAAAGTTACAAGCACTATACACAGAATGATGTATATGGGACTACCCTATATCTCTCACAGACCATGAGAGAAACAAATTTACCAAATATATGAATTAGTAGGCGGTTTCCCGGCAAATTTGTTATCATCATGTATTAGTCAAAACATATTCTTTCACATGATTGGTAATGAGAGCTTCCATTTCAATTTTTGAAATTGGGGCGTTTCCAATACTGGTCTTTACCTTTAAAATACAGTATAAGTCCTGAATGGGTGCATTAAAAAGAAGATGCACAGACTGCTTTTAGTGCTAGATACTCAATAAAAGGCTACAAACCCAATACAATCGCAAAGGTACATGTCAAGGTTTCAGTGCCACAAAGATGTAACTCCATATTTTGCCAAAATGAGTATTTGATATCAAAATGTTCAGAAAAATGTGAGCTTTCCAGGAAACACAAAGACTTAACTCCACCTAACGCCCCATTGAAGTTAATGACTAGTGAAACATAGACCTAACTCCATTAGGCCAAAGTGAACCTCTATCATAAAACCACTTTTTCTCAAAATGGAGTTACATCTTTGTGTCACTGACCCCTTGATGTATTTTATTGTATTATAACACATAAAAAGAAACTTGAGTGTCTTACCCCTCTCGATGAGACTGGCATCGATACACTGGACCTCATCTGAGCCCCCTCCTGGTGCCTCATGGATAGCCTTCTGGAGTTCTTTCCTCTGTCTGTCCATCTCTTTGTCTTTCCTCTTGGTCTTCTCAGAGGCCCGGATGCCTCCGAAGATCTTGGAGAAGGCATTGCTCTTTGGCGCCCTCCCTGACGGCAGCTCCTGTATAAAGGAAGCAATCAAAGTCCATTTAAGGTAAATTTATTAAATGTATTGATGATGATGACGACGACGACGACGAAGATGATGAAGATGATGACGATGGTGATGATGTTGGTGGTGGTGGTGGTGGTGGTGGTGGTGGTGGTGGTGGTGGTGGTTGTGATAATGATAATGATGATGATGATGATGATGATGATGATGATGATGATGATGATGATAATAATAATGATATTAAATGAGATATATAAGGGGCCGTATACACTTGAAATCAAATGCTTGAGGCGCAATTGTGAAATAAAAGAAAAAAAGAGATCACATAAGAGCATCTGCATTATAAACAAAGGAACAGAAGTAAGATATATTTATTTGTTGAGAGCCAGTTTCTATTTTCTTCATTAGTTGGGAGGTTCAAATAATATACCTCTTCAATAAACCACTGGATTTTGTGAAACTTCAGTTATTAGATCTGCAGAAAGGACAAACCATCTTTAAGCCAACAACTGCAAAAAATCTATGGACTTACAGGCGGGGGTGACATAGGTATCGACCCCTCCCTCTCTATAGGACTGAGAGGGGGTTCAGGACTATCCCTCCTGACTGGAGTTACCCTGTGAGCCGTGAGATCCACCGGTCTCGGGGCGGGGCTGGGCTTTTCCCTGGTGGGTGGGCCGTTGTCGATGCGCCCCGGGGGAGGTGGTATGGGATGGAGAAGCATGGTTGGAAGACCGTCATCGTAGCGGGAGTAGTGATCGATGAGTTGCTCTAAGGTGTCGAAGTAAGGGCCGTCGTCGATGTAAAAGCTCTCCATCTGAAGGCGAAGAAGAAACCAGAATTGGGACCATAACAAAATATACTAGTTAATTTGATGTTATCAATAAATATACAAAATGCCACAACAACACTGAGAAAGCAAATTTTAAGCAATCTTCCTATACAGTTATGATTTATTGTGCACTTTATATACATGTACGTCAGGTTTTCTAGCACTGCTTATTAATCAGGAAACACTGAGTGTCATAACTACAAGAAAGGTGCTAGATCCAACACCATGAAGTGTAGTGTAATTGTCTAGAAAGATTAGATCTTACTTCAGTGTTGATCTAGAAGTTAGAGACAGTGCCATTAGCAGCCATTGAAAGCACCATGGTGTCGGGTTTATTAGTACTGCTTTATAGAAAATAACATCATAGTGTTGGATCAAACACCATATTGTACAAGTAATTATCTAGAGGGTGTTTATACCATACCTTAGTGTTGATCTCGAAGTTAGAGACAGTGTTATTAACAGTTATGATTGAAAGCACCATGGTGTATGGTTTATTAGAACTGCTTTATAGAAATGGACACCATGGTATTAGATCAAACACCATATTGTAATTATCTAGAGCGTGTTTATATCATACCTTAGTGTTGATCTCGAAGTTAAAGACAGTGCCATTGGCAGCCATTGAAAGCACCATGGTGTCAGGTTTATTAGCACTGCTTCGGAGTAGAAACTGGCCATCCTTAGCGCCGTGCTTCTGGATAGATTCGAGCGCCTTCTTGCGGTCCATGGAACCATGGAACCAGGGCTTGCCTTGTAGCCTGGGAACCTTGGGTTTACAGGACTCTATAGAGAACACAGGGGGAAGGAGGAGAGGGGGAGATGCAGAGGTGGGAGAGAAGGAGAGAAGGAGAGGGAGAGAGAGAGAGAGAGAGAGAGAGAGGGAGGGAGAGGTGGGAGAGAACAGGAAAGAGTGAGAGGGAGAGACAGAGAGAGAGAGAGAAAGTACGAGAGGGTAGAGAGATAGAGATAGGGGAATAGCAAGGGAGGAAGAGATATATAAAAAAAGAGAGGGAGAAGGAGAAAGAGGGGGAGAAGAAGAAAGAGGGAGAGAGAAGGGGAGGAGAAGAGGGAGAGAAAAGGTAGAGGGAGATAAAGAGGGGAGGGGTGAAGGGAGGAGAGAAGGAGAGAGACAGAAAGAGAGAGAGAGAGAGAGAGAGAGAGAGAGAGGGGGGGGGCAGGACAAAGGAGAGAGGAAGAGGGGAAAACAGAGAGTGGAAGAAGAGACAGTGAGCACAAGAGAGGTTGCAGGTTCGAGGGAGGAGAGGGAAAGGAAGAGGGTGGGAAATGGAGAAAAAAAATATATATATCAAGAGAAATGAGGAAAAAATGAAATGCAATACAGAATCACTGTCAACAGCCAAAGTTAAATTGATTTGAACATGATCTGTATAATTATGTATAAATGTTTATTGAAGGGTAGGGCACATCCTGTGTTGGAGCCAAGTTCACAATTTCTCCTCATTGCATATACATAGATCTACAATACATCCATGTAAACTTACGCACGTATGTTTTTCTATGCGCAACATTTCTTTCCAAATGATAATTTCTGCTTGGATGCGTAACCTATGAAAAAAAAGCATCCTTACTTAGGTACATGACAACGTGCGAGTGCTCGTATCTCCTCGCTAAATCCAGCGGCGTGTCGTTGTCTGCGCTGCGTGGATGACAGGGGGCGCCGTGCATGATCAGCTCCTTGACGCAGCCTGCGTGACCTTTCATGGCAGCCTCGTGGAGGGGAACCCACCCCGTCCTGGGGTGCCTGAGGGTGGGGTCGGCCCCCTTCTGCATCAAGAACTGACATGCCCTGGGTTGGTTGCTACTGCAAGCAGTCTGTGATAGGGAAGAAATAAAGAGGATGAATTTTAGAGAATGAAAAATTATATCATGACATATATAGCACTAATACAGTGTGCCATAAATCTAATGAAATATTCTGATGCACAAGAATAAGGGTACATCCAACAGGGGTGTACCCCCTTTTGCATCAAGAACTAACAGGACCTGCGTTGGTTGCTACTACAGTACATGCAGCTGTGATAAAGAAGAAAGAGAATGAAAGAGAATGAGAGTGAGAAATGATCAATCATAAATAGCACTTACAACATTCTCATGAGGTTCGGGTCGTTCATGGTTTTCTAACAGTCTACTGAATCATTTTTTCCTCCTCAAATTAGCTACAAATTTCAGTAATTCCAATCCTTCATAGTTAAAGAAATGTAAATTAATGATTAACGAAAATTATAAAATATCAACAACATATTGCCAATTTGTATACAATAATAGTAAGAATTAAGTTCCCTCTGCATGCCCAATTTACTTTATAAAGTGTACAAAAAAACAAGCTCCCGAAAAATGTATTTCATTTTTCTTTCACTGGTACTGCATACATGTACAGGTGTACACTCTGTATTAAAGAGGTTGATCGGTTTTTGGTCTGATCTCACATTTAACCTTTAAGTAATACTTCCCCAATAGCTTGCAAGCAAGTCAACTTAATATCTCTTCATTAGCACAACATACAGTATCTCCTGATCAGTCCTATCACATCTGTTTAGTTCAATTACACAATAAAATACATCCAATCGGGTACAAAACAGGAAGAATTGTGGTCATTATTTCCTTAAGTTTCAATTTTTATCGTCTCCAGTTCCTTTTTGCCTTCCAAAAGACCAACAGGAAAGAGGAACGCCTCAGGCCTAAGGGTGCATTCAGGCGACACTTTTTCACCCTAGAAACACGGTTTCAGAGACGTTTAGTTTAAAACACGGTTGCGTTCAAGCCATTTTTTGTCGGTCGTAAAAATAAGTGTGTTTAAGAATGCAAACATGAAACGCTGATAAAGATTCTAGCTTTAAAAAATTGCTTGAACGCACCCCTATTTGGAAAGTTATCAGTTTTTGTGTTCATACAAGTGGAACAACCAGTAGGTACAGTTCATCGTGTACGGCTTTTGTCTTCAATGTGCATTCTGTTCAGACACTTCCTTTTCAGCAACACATTCATTACATGCAGCATACATGTACATAAGCTGGTTCAATCCCCGATAGGCACTAATGTCCTTGGGCAAGACATTAATCTCCATTTGCTACACTCGACCCAGGTGGGGTAAATGGGTACCTGGCAGGAATTAATTCCTTGAAATGCTGGAGCGCTGTACATTAATGGCAGCTAGGCCAAAGCCGGGGTAATAATTAATGCGCTCAGAATAGAATATCTTGAAAGACAGCGCTATAGAAATGCCTATAATTATTATTATTATTATTATTAAGCTCCAACCACAGTAAACATACTGTAACAACAGAATTAGTCATATACCCCTTAAAAATTTGATGGTTTTTTTTTGTGTTTTACGTATCTCAACAATGAAAGGTGGACTGGTTAAATTGGGGCCTTCGTTAAACACTTTTAGATGTAAGCTTTAAAATGCCACACCCTCATAACATGCTTGAAAAATTACAAAACTTTGTAGGCCTAAGGGTATGAATAATTGGGCTGTAAACTGTCTGTATAACACATAAAGTATTTGCTCAGGTAAAAATTGCATTGTGATGTTATTTTTTATTCTAACAGAATTAATAACCCCGACCCATGATCCAAACATCGAATCCAAATCAACAAACTTGTTTTTCTTAGGGGTCTTATCAAAGTAAATGGAAAAAGAAAGAAAACGCACAAATGTGCAAGAGTCCGGGAATTCAAAATGGGACAGCTGTGGTCTGTGGTTGAAAACACAATGGCATTATAGTTTTAAAGAAGTTTGAAAAGCCTTTCACTTTTGCTTTGCCAAATTTATCTCAGTAATGTAAATATTTTTAATATATATTATACAAATATTGACTGCTCATGAGGATGATGGTGGGAACTATCACTCCCAAGGTGGTGTTTACACCGGCCCTTCTATCACCCCCGAGGCGAAGCCGAGGGGGTGATAGAAGGGCCGGTGTGAACACCACCGAGGGAGTGGTAGTTCCCACAATCATCCGATTACAGAGCAGTCCATATTTGTTTTATATACCTCATCCTTTTTATTGATTCATGATTAGGTCTAGCTGTAGGTCTAGATCTAGCTCTAAAAACAGGAAACGAGATCAAGAGAAATTTACTAACCCAAATAAGAAAAATACAACATCAAGTCCAAGGCAAGAGTATTGAATTCCTACGCGCTGCGCGTAACCGCGCGATTGCGGTAGCCTAGCAACTCAAAAAATTTGTGTGCGCAACTTTAAAGTCGCGGGAGGGGTTAGGGGTCCTATCCCAGGGTTTGATAGTAGCTATCAACCCCTCTGACGTAATGATACTTGATAGATCGAAATGCTCCTTGACATGTGATATAGTCTTGACCAATCAGTGAATGACAATCTATGTATGAGGTATATAAAACTTATTCTCCTTTCACAATTGCTTCTAATTGAAAAAGCTTATGATTTTGAGTCTACACGCAGCTAATATTCAAGACACGTATGTCAGTATCTAGTCCCTATCACAAGCATTTATATCTCTATCTCTCTCTCTCTTTCTTTCTCTTTCTCCCTATGTCTGTCTCTCTGTCTGTCTCTTTCTCTCTCTGTCCCCGACTCTCTGTCTATCTTTCTCTCTTATTCTCTCTCTCTCTCTCTCTCTCTCTCTCTCTCTCTCTCTGTCTTTCACTCTCTGTCTCTCTCTCTCTGTATGTATGTATGTCTGCTTGTCTGTCTCTTCCGCTCTGTCTTCCTGTCTGTCTGTATGTATCTCTCTTTTTCCCTCTCTCTCTCTCTCTCTCTCTCTCTCTCCTTCTCTGTCTTTTCCTCTCTCTCTCTCTCCCTCTCTCCCTGTCTGTCTGTCTGTCTGTCTCTCTGTCTCTTCTTTCTCCCCATCTCTCTCTCTCTCTCTCTCTCTCTCTCTTGTGTACTCTGTATTTATTTCCACGTTCAGAACAATTAATGATGTGTGGCACAAGAGCATGAGTAATAATGCCTTGGCATACTATTTTACAAAAATAGTGCTAACCAATAATATGACACATCTTTTGTGTAACTGTTCTATTACATTGTATTTATGTGTGCCAACTCTTCTGGACATTTTCTCTAAAAAGTATGTGCACGTTTACTTTTTTTAGTAAAAAAATACTACATTTCATTAACTAGAGGACTGTAGGTACTCATGTATACAATAAATAGATAACTAAATACTTTATTCTATGGTGAAAATTTTAGTATTCTTATGAACAGCAGTTTGCTTTTTAATTTCTAAAGTTTATATACATGTATGAGGATGAGGAGGATGATGATGATGATTAAAGGCCATCTGTACTAGTTCAGCCAAAGAGGATAAGACAACCCAGCGAGGTCACTGACGGGTGGCTATCTCATCAATTCAGTTCTCAACTAGCATAAGAAAAAGAGGATCATGGAGTACCAACAGGCACAGATTGGGGAAGTTTTCTATATAGAGGGAGCAAGTAGCTACAAGTAGTACAGTGGGGCTTTAAGATATTCAATAATAATAACAAATTGACTTTGGTATATAGAAATTCTTGAAGTATGTGCTTTAATGATCCAATTAGCCTTATGAAACCAGGCGTGAATCTTTCACATAGCAACACCATGCTATACATGTACATGCTTCAACATGTAACCATACCTACTGGTTGGCCTTCATGACCCCCCCCCCCCCCAACCACCACTTAGGTTTATTAATGAATGAACAATTAAATGGGAAGTCCACCCTATATCAAATTGGTTTCAATACAGCAGAAAACTAAAGAAAAATACAAGACTAATCAAATTCCTCTTCAGCAGAAAAAAAGCTTGGGTATGTATTTGCACGGGCTCACACTATACAGTACAGTAGATATCTGTAAAGCGCTTAGACACAATGTTGATGTATTAAGCACTACCGGTATATAAAAGCTGGATATATAAATAGATAGTATCAGTTCAAATCAATCAAACACAAATTGGCCATGATGTGACATATACATGTATGTACGTGTACATGTACAAGTTTTTTGCGAGGTCCTTTCCCATTTGCTTCATATACCAACAAAAATCATCAATTTAAATTTGTTATCTTTTGAAGTGTTTTCACAGTTCATGTTTGCATACCGGTTAGGTTTTTATTATCAAATTAAACAAATTCAAAGGTACTTACGTAGAGTGGAGTGACCCCATTGCTGTCTTTACTGTTGATATTTGCGCTCTTCTCCAGGAGCCTGAAGATGATGTTCTCCTCCCCCAGAGCAGCGGCCTCGTGAAGCGCTGTGCGCCCCTCCGCGTTCCTGGCATCCAGCGGACTGCAGAGGTTGTCCTCTATGATCATCGCGACGCCCTCCGACCACTTCTCAAAGGTAGCTCTAAGATTTAAAGAGAAAAAAGAGCGATTACTTTAAACCGATGGGGCTAGACTTTTTCCAAAGGAAGTAGCAAAACCCAATCCAGCAGTCCTGTAAATAAAAGGAGAAAATGTACGCCAAACATTGAGTGCTTTTCTTCGCAATTTTTGTTTGTTTACCCCAACAGGGCTTGATACTAACCAATGATGGGTAACATATAATGGGCCATAAAATTTAATCTTATTTTATCTTATTACATTTCAGTAATGACACAACAATTAATAAGGCCTGATGCACCCAGACCTTAATAATTGCGGAACCCTAGTGAAGAAAGTTAGCATTGCATGAGCCCTCATTAGTATACACTTGCTTAGTTATAATACACTTTTTAGGGGGGCTTGCCAGGGATACATGCATGTTTTGCTCACTGCCCCAGCCCCCCCCCCCCCCCACCCTCCCCCATTGCCTTGCAGGAAAATCTTAGATCTGCCCCTGAAACTTTGCATTACAAAAATTAAAATCCTCAAATTTGGAATCGATAATTTGATATATATTAACCTTCCTGCACCAAGATTAAATTATACAGAAGAATCATTGAAAAAACACAAAAGTTGCCTCATTAAAACCTTTCCATCACATGTACATGTACATTCAACCAAACCAGCTTAATGTGACCACACATTGTCTTTGGCAGGATTCATAGCCTCCATGTACACTGTACCTGTACCTGCATGGCACTGCACTGGGAGGCTCATTGAAACTGACCCCAATTTAGGAGGAAGTTCAAATGCAAAAATTACAACCTACTGGTATGCATTGTACGTCTGCAGCACATGGAGAAACCATAATGTATTTAAAATAGAGAAGTACATGTATACACTCTATTTTCAGAAAACCACAATGTGTCCAATAGTATTAAACCGACTAAGTTATTCATATCCTAATTACCAATGACTAATTATCTTATTAATAGCATTTATTATAATATTAATCGAAAATGAAAGTAAAACATATTTGTCTGTCCGTCTGTCCATAAGCAGTGTGGGTCACGTCCAAATGAGCCTCAATGTCAAAATGGAGAAGAAGAACAAAAAATTATTCATCTCTCAACCACTAACGTATCTTCTGCTGATGAGCCTCAAAAGGGTTTTACCTTATTATTTTTAAAATTCAAAGGCTCACATCCAATTTAAACCTGAAACTGGGACTTAGGAAGATGAAAGGGAAGATTTACTGTAGACCTTTGTCTAACTCCCTTAGTTCAATTTGACTTAAAAAGACTGCACTTTAAACTCAGTATCAGGTTTAAATTACGGTAAAAATACAGGCCAGAGTTTATAGCCCCTTACTGGTTCTATTTAAGTAGACAATATACATGTACATGTGTACATTGTTGAATACTACACATCTGCCACCCTCTCTCTCTCTTTCTCTCAGCCCCCCCCCCCCCCCCTCTCTTTTTTTTTCTCTTTCTCTTTCCCTGTTATTTTCTAAATATAAGGAGAAAAACCCATTATTGTGTCATCACTCAATCGTGAAGTATAGTACAGAGTTGTTGTGTAGGTTGACTGTTTGCTTTTGTAATACGGTCGAGTAAGAATTTCAAACCCACAAAATGATGTATAACCAGGAAACAAGTGGCAATGATTACCTTTTCATTATGATTTCCATTGTACACTGTATAATGGGTTTGTTTAACACAATACCGGTACAGGTATTGTGTAGAGTACATGATTGTGTGAAGGCAAGCCTACGCTTCGGTCGATTCATTCTTTACTACACAAAAAAAGGCTTTAATTGTCTTCTAGTAAAAAAAACTATCTGAATTTATCAATGTTCAGGTGGTTGAGGATTTTGCAAAAGGGAGTGCAATTCGACCTGGAAAACAACAACAAAAACAATTAAGGGGAGGGGCATTTTTGTGTGTGAAATGTATTTTAGGCGCCAAATGTGTTTCAAAAGGGAGGGGCAGGCTGGTTGATTCCCCCCCCCCCCCCCTCTGCTCCGTTTAAGAACCATTTACATAAAAAAAAATCTTTTAATTATTCTAGTTTATTAATTATTATTATCATTTACTTGGTATTCCAAAGATAAAATACAATGAAGACACAAGACCATAAAGAACAAATGATTCAGCTTCCCCTACTGCACTTCCCAAAGTTGATCGGAAGGAAAAAGCACATCGATGGAAGTCATGGACATAGGAACAAACAAACAAAGAAACAGACAAAAAATAATACCAGTAATGAAACCAAACAATCAATCATTTACATTCATCTCAAGATGTTCTGCTAATTAATGTACAATCCGAACATCATTTCTAGCATGACCGTTGCACGACCTCTTCCAATATCCACACAACACCTTTTTTGATCAGCGCTCGATCGGCGCACCTGCCTACCTCAAATTGGCAACGTCTGTCACAGCAGGTAAAAGCACAGCCTCGTTCCTGTCTAAGCCCAACAATGACTGGGTACATACCAAGTAGGCTCATAATTGACTCTTCAGTCCCGCAATTTCCTTCCAATAAGCCGTGACTCACGTTGGCACAGCGGCAAGCAACGCAGAGTCGACTGCTGCCACCGTTGTTCTCCCTAAGCTCAGGATTATTCCGAGGAAGGGGTTGACATGATTCAAACGATCAATTTAGCACGATAGGGGTTACGCAGGTCACATTTGTGAAACTTCTTAGGGCAAGTGGCACCCAGGTAATTTTTTTTTATTTGAATATGAAAATAAAGGGTTCAGCAGAAAGCAGGAATTCTTTGTAATGGGGTTCTTTGGTTCTCAACAAATTTCTCTATTTTTTTTCATGATTATCTTCCCAGTGCTAAAAGGCTGTTGACTCTACATGGATGTAAAATAATGGGAATTAATGCCTTCTGCCTCGTTCAATAAAACTAACCATTGATGATAACTTTGCAATCAATATCAATGATTTTACAGTTGATTAATGAAATCCTGTTCAGTGATTGGTCAACATAGCATCATGTGGCCACAGATAACATTGATTTGATGGTACCGATAAGAAGCATATCTACATGTATGACGTCATCCACGGTATAGTGCACTATACCGTGGATGACATCATACATGTACTGTATATGTGATAGATCAAGATCAATATGGTATCGGTATCATGCACTATTTTACTACAAAACAAAAAAACACTATTTTAAGCCACTAGTGAAATTATTGATTCTTTGGTGACAGAAATTTGTATTATTATTATTTTTATGAAGGTTGATTTGAAAATATAAAAAACAAATATATCTGCACTATTTCAAGCCACTTTAGTGAAATTATGGATTCCCCTGCGACAGAAATAGCACTATTTCTGTCACCTAGATCCATATGTCAACTAGAGCCTCTCGGTGCATAGAATTTGTTTACTATCGCAGCACGACTTACAGTAATAGCCAATCAAATCAAGGTTTCCATGGAAGTTACCATAAGTAATGGTAAAGTTACATGTATATGCAATGGCGCCCTGTTTCTAAACAAATTTCTTCTTGACGACTTCTAGGAAACTTCTGAAATCTAGAAGGCTTTTATATTATGGGTCAATGCACTTCTTCCTCTCGACAGATGATATCATTTTCTTTACTTCTAAATGATACCTCACTCACGCAGCCAAATCATGTCCACACAGACTCCAAAGTCCAAACCAACAGATTTTTAGCCATTATTTTGGGTAATGCAATCTTTTGTTCGGGGTCTGTAGCTTGTCTGGTGTCGGTGTGACAGATATGTAACAGCTTTAAAAAAAAAACTGTGACAGTGTAATTGTAAAGTGGAAGGAAATAGAGACCTTCCATTTCTCAACAAATTTACCTATTTCATGACTGCATTGTAACCTGGGGGGGGGGGGGGGTAAGGGAGATGTTACATTGTACCTTTAAAGTGAAAACAATTAATGTCCTTCTGCCTCTCAGCAGATGATACAAAAAACATCAATTTCCAATCAATTCTTGACACTTGTCCAAAAACTTGGATTCCCATCAGGAGGCCAGGTTTTGATTCCAAATCATCACCATCATTGTCATCATCAACATCTAGGAGAAATTTGAAAAGAGTTTTCTTTGAATGTGTTCAAACATGTTCTCACCGGTACATGTATTTTGCCCTTTAAAGGTAAAGACCAGTTATGGTCATGCGATTGCATTGTGAAAGAAACGTTGTGGAATCGATCAGAAAAGGTTGATCATCTAGCATCTAGCATCTGCAAGGTTCTGGAATCATCAATTTGGCCCATTCTTCGTAAAGTTACAAGCACTATACACAGAAAGATGTATATGGGACTACCCTACATGTATATCTCTCACAGACCATGAGAGAAACAAATTTACCAAATATATGAATTAGTAGGCGGTTTCCCGGCAAATTTTTTATCATTATGTATTAGTCAAAATATATTCTTTCATATGATTGGTAATGAGAGCTTCCATTTCAAATTTTTGAAATTGGGGCGTTTCCAATATTGGTCTTTACCTTTAACATAGTTTTCTTTTTTCTACTGTAGTAGTACAATGTAAAGTGTACATTGTATACATAAATACTGTAAAAGCTACACGTGCGAGGCACTGCGTGCAGAGTATATGCAAATATTCAATATAAAAAAGAAGGAAAATTACGATTATAATCCATGACTCAAAAACAACATTTTCTTTTATACAAACTTCAATCTTATTCTGATAATTGTACAACGATCACATTTCATTTCCTTGAAGAAATTTCCTTTTTGAGAATCAATCTGTTTTCTTCTTTATATCAAGTAGAAGATCATTCGTATTCAACATGTTAGCCCACACACTTAAACCTGCTTTTCTACAACTGAAGTAACTTCCTTGTGTATCAAATTTCAGGAAATCTAACCAATCAAAGGAATGAATCCTACTTTAATGAAATCTAATAGAGATACTGTAAATTCTTGACGTGCATACAAGTACATGTACGTTTACATTTGTAGGGGAGGAGGGGAGGGGTGGAGGGGAGGGGGTGGGGGAGGGGTGGAGGGGAGG